GTAGTAGTAGTAGTAGTAGTAGTAGTCGTAGTCGTAGTCGTAGTAGTAGTAGTGTAGTAGTAGTAGTCGTAGTAGTCGTAGTAGTAGTAGTAGTAGTAGTAGTAGTAGTAGTAGTAGTAGTAGTAGTAGTAGTAGTAGTAGTAGTAGTAGTAGTAGTAGGTAGTAGTAGAAGTAGTAGTAGTAGTAGTAGTAGTAGTAGTAGTAGTAGTAGTAGTAGTAGTAGTAGTAGTAGTAGTAGTAGTAGTAGTAGTAGTAGTAGTAGTAGTAGTAGTAGTAGTAGTAGTAGTAGTAGTAGTAGTAGTAGTAGTAGTAGTAGTAGTAGTAGTAGTAGTAGTAGTAGTAGTAGTAGTCGTAGTAGTAGTAGTAGTAGTAGTAGTAGTAGTAGTAGTAGTAGTAGTAGTAGTAGTAGTAGTAGTAGTAGTAGTAGTAGTAGTAGTAGTAGTAATCGTAGTCGTAGTCGTAGTAGTCGTAGTAGTCGTCGTAGTCGTAGTAGAAGCCCAAGAGGCTCTTCGGAGAGCCCAAGAAGCGCTTCGGATGCCCCAAGAAGCTCTTCGGAGGCCCCACGAGGCTCTTCGGAGAGCCCAAGCGGCTCTTAGGCGGCTGGAAGAAGGTCTTCGGCGGCTCCAAGAGGCTCTTCGGAGAGCACCAGAGGCTCTTCCGAGAGGCTCTTCGGTGAAGGGGGGGGGGGGGGGCGGAGCCTTTTTTAATACACTCCGGAATACCTCTGGCCATACTAACACCCACCGGGCCGCAGTAACAACCAACGGGCCGCAGTAACACCTTATCTCGGGGATGGGGAGGGGAGGGGGAGGGGATGGGGAGCGAGGGGCACATCTCAGGCGCCCGGGGCGCCGGCCCTCGAGGTCTGGGCCCGCGGGCTGCCATTCTTCAGGGCGGCGGCGCGAAGACGGCTGCACGGCGCGCAGCGCGAAGCTGGGTGCTCCAGAGGCACGTGTGGCCGCGCCGTTTGTTCCGACGCGCGGCCTTCCGTCTCGGGGAGGGTGCCACGGGCACCGGGGCAAGCGCCGCCTCCAACGCGGTGGGCTCGCCGTGGGTTTGCCGCGGGGCACCACGTCGTCTGGTTGGGCGCGGGGCGCAGGGCTTGCCGTGGTGTCGGCGTCGTCCACTTGGCGCGTCGAGAACAAGCGGCGCGGCGATACGTTTTCTTTGTTCCATCGAGCTGGGCCGAAAATTTTTGCGGACATGCATTCAAGACGCTGGAATAATGAACAGGTTGGGTCCGGAAGGGGTTCGGTGTTCCTGGGTCGGAAGCCTTCCAGGGCTGTTCCTCTAGCTTTCCTCGTTCACTCAGGCGCGTTCGGGGCCCAAAAAATGGGAATTTGTTCTTTACTTATCGTTCCCTGATTCAACAGCCCGACTGTACACTCAAAAGTATGCATACATGGAGGCAGCGGAGGCTAAGCCTGAACAAGCGCCACGTCGGCGAGCGACACCTTGGTGCGCAGCCGCTTCGTGGGCCAGATGGCCTCCGACGCCACTGCGTTTGGCGAGGGGGACATCTTCCAGATAACAAAAGCCAGCTTCTGGGGGAACACACATATATCCGTATCCGCGGGTGCGTGGGCCAGGCCCCTGGGCCGCGACCCCGCGGATACGGGGCGTTTTTGACGCCCCGGAATCCAGACCGCGAGGGCGTGGGTATGGATACGTGCGCCGCTCGTGAGGTATCCTCTTCCGGTGCGGACTGCCCACGACGCGTCCGCGCTGGCGGGCGTCGGCAAGGTCGTCATGGGCCTCTTCGAGCAGGCCGGGCCTGGCTGCCCGGCGGCCCGGGCAGGCGGCCTGGCGGCGGGCGACGAGGCTTGGCTGCGGGCGCTGCGGAGGAGGTACTTTCAGGCGCTGCGGAACGTGAACGTGCGCGGAGCTCAGAGGAGGAAAAGGCACCGATGCCGCCAGCCTTCCCTCGATACCGCTGCCCTGCCCTCGTTTTTTTGTTGCCTTTTGTTGCCTTCTGGGGCCCTCGTCGCCACGGCTGGATTCACTTCTCGAAATTCTGGTCAGAAAGCGCCCGGGGGGAGGAGCGGAATCGGTATCTTGTGGTTTCCCAAGGAGCGCCACGCTCGGGAGTGTGCTTCGGGCCGATCCCGCGCGAGTCCCGCGCCAAGCGAAGCTCTGGACCGATGCCGCCCGAGTCCCGCGCCGGGCGGCGAAAGCGGGGCAGCAGTGTTACCTGGAGCGGTGAGCCCACAGGCACTGCGCCGGCGTCGCTGCCCGCCGCAGAGGCTGAAGGCCAGCATGACCCACCGCCGCGCGCAGCTGTGGGGGGCCCGCCGGTGCCATCCCCAGCCGTGGGCGGCGCCGCCGCATGTGCTAGGCATCAGGCTGACTCCGATGACGATGAGCCGCTAGCTGCGATTGCGTCCAGGGCCGTTCACGGCGCTGGCGCGTACGCGAGGCAGCGGAGCGCACGCGAGCCGAGCCCAGAGAGGGAGGCTGGGCGAGATGCCACCGCTTCGCTGGCGCTGGCACCAGACACGGCGACGCCCGCCGCTGCCCCTCCTCCCCGTATCCTCGACGTCATGATTTTTGTTGGTAACGTCGGCCCCCCGAGGTCTCGACCCGTTCCCCAGGACGGGCCTTCCACCCCCAGCCGTCGTGCCTTGACGGCCCCGAAAAAGGGCCAGGGCCCCCCAGGGCCAGAAACATGTCAAAACCTGCCGTGGCAGTATTCGCAGGCCTAGGAATTGACACCACCACCAAGATCGGCGGTGCGCCTCCACCGAGGGAAGGCGATCCCGATCTCGGTGATGGTGGTAATATTTTGGCTTCCAAGGTGGCCGAAATATTGCCACCAACACCGAAATCTAGGATCATCTGCACCCTGTGGAGGCAACCCCCTGGGCTGGTGTTGGTGCCAATTTCCAGGCCTCAAAAGTATGCCTGCACGACTCGAGGGGGCCTGGGCCTGCAGGCGAGGAGCCCGTCGCCGTACAACTCCCTCGCCGGGCTGCCGAGCCCGGGCCCGCCGGGCGCGCCGGGCGCCGCCGCCGCGCGGCCTGCCCCGGGCGCGCCGGGGCGCAGGCGGAGCAGGCGGCGCCTGCAGGCGCCGGCGGCGCGCCAGAGGGGCCCTCTGGTGCGGGCGCTCTCGGGGCTCCTCCTCCTCCTCCTCCTCCTCCTCCTCCTCCTCCTCCTTCTCCTCCTCCTCCTCCTCCTCCTCCTCCTCCTCCTCCTCCTCCTCCTCCTCCTCCTCCTTCTCCTCCTGCTCATGCGGACCCCCGGACGGGAGGTTTTTGGGCAATGTTCGGCCTTAAGGGGGGCCCTCGTCGCCGGGCCTCGGGGCCGTCAAGAAAGGACCTGCAGGATGAAACACCGGTCCCGGGGGACAGGCCAGGACTTCCCGGGGACGCCGTGTCGAAAAAACCAGGGCGTCGCATGTCTGGGTAAGGGGGGTCAGCGCCCATTCGCACGGAGCGAGGACGAGGACGAGGATCAATTCGTTCCGGGGCGTTCCGGAACGTTCTCAGAGCGTTCTTTGGGACGCTCTGAGGAGTCCGCGGCGCCCGAGACATCCGCCAGAACCTCCAGATCTCAGAGATTCCCGACTCATCCTCACCCGAATGGAGCAATCCTCGTGCTGCCTTCGTCTTCCTTGTGGGGGTCAGGCAATCCCCTCCGAGATCCTCTGGCCGACCCGGGCCACTGCCGACCCCGCTTTCCTGGCCCTCTGGCCGACCCGGCTTTGGGAGCTACTTAGCGGCCGGCCTGGGTTCGCGGCGTGGGCCTGGCTGACCCGGGCTAGAGTTCAGTCGGGCACGTCCCTCTACAGGGGGAGGTTCTAAAACCGTAAAAAATAGGCTTGAGACGATTTCTTTACTATGTTTGATCATTTTTGGAGAATGTTTGACAATTTTTCATTCTTCGTCTAAAATCCGCCTGTAGGAGGACATGCCCGACCTAAGGTTAGAGCGTCCAGGAGTCTCACAGGGGCCCCCCCAGTACTGGCCTCCGCGCGCACCAAAGCCCAGTATGGATATATGAGGAGGAGGAGGAGGAGGAGGAGGAGGAGGAGGAGGAGGAGGAGGAGGAGGAGGAGGAGGAGGAGAAGGAGAAGGAGGAGGAGGAGGAGGAGAAGGAGGAGGAGGATCTAGCAGGAGGAGATAGGAGGAGGATACAGCAGGAGGAGGTAGGAGGATGAGGAGGAGGAGGAGAAGGAGGAGGCAGATCTAGCAGGACGAGATATGAGGATGAGGAGGAGGAGGAGGAGGAGGAGGAGGAGAAGGAGGAGGAGTTGCCTACGGTTGGTGGAGGAAATCCTGCACCACCCTCGCGACCAGTGTGCCAGCGCGAACTTCAACGCCACCCCCCTGCCCCCGATCCAGTGATGGTCGGCATCGCCACCCGGGGTGCAGGATCTCGGCCAGCCGACAGATCGACACACCGCCTCGCAGACAGCAAGTCCAAAATTTGGGGCGCGGGGGGGGTCCCAAAACTCCACCCGTCGCCTCGCCATTTGTTGCGCCGCGTGCCCTTCCGTCTTGGGGAGAACGCCGCGGGCCCCAGGGCAAACGCCGCCCCGGGCGCGGCGCGGTGGGCCTGCCCTGGGGCTGACCGCGGTGCTGGCCTCGTCGTCCCCCTTGGCGTGCGCGACGCAGGGCTCGCCGTGGGCTTGCCGCGGTGTCGGCGTCGTCCATGTGGGCACGCTCGGACCCCACGGCGCGGCGAGACACGAAGGGGCAGGACTCTGTCCATCAGCCGCTGGGCCCCAGACACGCCACGTCCTGATGTTTTCGATCCTTTATATATTTATCTATGATAATAATAGTAATAATAATAATGATAACAATAGTAATACTACTAATAATAATGATAATAATAATAAACAAAAAACGCGATCATGCCTGGGGCCGCTCCCCGCGTGCAGCCCGAGGCGGCGGTGTCCGACCCGTGCCCGCGGGCGGCGCGCGCGGCCGCCGCGGAGGACGCCGCGGCCGCCGCGCCTCCGGCGACGCGGCGGCGCCTGGCGGCGTGCGCCTCGGCGCCGCCGACGCCGGCGGCCCGCCAGGAGCCCCGGGGCGTGCCGCCGACGGCCCCGGTGCGGCGCGTGCGCTGCGAGGAGGACCTCGGTCGGGCGGGGCACGGGACGAGGAGCCAGACGTCTGGTCGCGTCGCGGAGAGATCTATCAGGGCGAGAGGTGTTTGGGCCATCTTCGGCCTTAAGGGGGGCCCTCGCCGGGCCTCGTGGCCGTCAAGAGACGACCCGGGATGGAAAGCTGGTCCTGGGTCGGAGTAGGGCGCTGTTGGGTGCAAATGGAGCAGTCCTGGGTCGTCCTGCGAGGCCCGCGAAGAGTGGGACCCTTGGGGATCGTAGGGCTGGCGCGGTTCAGAGGGTTCATTGGGCCCACAAGGCCCATTCAAGAGGCTACTGGGGCCCATGGGGATTGGAGGGTTCGTTCGGTTTTCGGGGATCCAATTGCTGAGAGAGTTCATCCGGCTCATTCGTAGAACTCATTGACGGGAGCCTCACGACCCATGAGGTTCATAGAGCCCTGCCCCACATTGGTAATACATCAGATATGATTGCAAAGCTGCTATCCGCAAAATCGCCGACAGACAACACACGACCGACGACAGAAGACCGACGGCAGACGACCGACGGACGACGACAGACGACCGACGACAGACGACCACGACGGACGACGACACTGACGACGACAGACGACCGACGACGACAGACGACCGACGACGACAGACGACGACGGCGGACGACGACACCGACGACGACGACCGACGGACGACGACCGACGACCGACGACGACGACGACACCGATGACGACACCGACGCCGACGCCGACGCCGCCGACGACGACCAACGGCTGACGACAGACGACCGACGACGGACGACGACCGACGACGGACGACAGACGACGGAGGACGGGCGACGGGCGACGGGCGACGGGCGACGGGCGACGGACGACGACGACGACGACGACGACGACGACGACGACGACGACGACGACGGACGACGACGGACGACGACGACGACGACGACGACGACGACGACGACGACGACGACGACGACGACGACGGACGACGACGACGACGACGACGACGACGACGACGACGACGACGACGACGACGACGACGACGACGACGACGACGACGACGACGACGACGACGACGACGGCGACGGCGACGGCGACGGCGACGGCGACGGCGACGGACGACGACGGCGACGGCGACGACGACGACGACGACGACGACGAAGACGACGAACGACGACGGCGGCGGCGGTGGCGACGCTCGCTCGGACAGCTCAGGCTGTTCCGTTCCAGCAGTATAGCCCAGAGCCCTGCACCCAGGAGGCCCCGGAAAGCCATCTTGGTGTCAGGGGCTGCCCCAGGGGGCAGGCGCGCGGGCGGGCAGGCGGGCAACCTCCCCAATGCCCCGCGCATCCATCCCTCCCTCCCTCCCTCCTCTGCCTCCCTCATCTCCCTCCCTCCCTCCTCTGCCTCCCTCCCTCCCTCTTTCCCTCCCTCCCTCCCCCGCCCCCCCTCCCGCCCTCCCTCCTCTGCCTCGGTGTTCCCGGTGCCGCCGTCCTGATCCGTCCCACCCGATCCCCTCCACCCCCTTCTCGTGTCGGGCTCCCGACCTCACCTCCCCCGCCGTCCCTGTTCCCGTCCTGCCCTCACGTCCCTTTCCTCCCCTCACCTCCCCTCCCCTCTCCTCGCCGCAGCTCCCCCCCCAGCCCCTCTCAGAGGGAACGGGGATGTGGGAGTGGCGGATGGACGGGAGAGGCAGGATGCGGGGGAGAGAGGGGGGGGAGACAAACGGACAGACAGACAGACAGACAGGCAGAAAGACCGACAGACAGACGGACAGACAGACAGAGAGACAGAGAGAGGGGCAGGAGTGATGGAAGAGAAGGGGGGGGAGGAGGAGGAGGAGGAGGAGGAGGAGGAGGAGGAGGAGGAGGAGGAGGAGGAGGAGGAGGAGGAGAAGGCGGAGGAGGAGGAGGAGGAGGAGGAGGAGGGATGAGCGGTAAGCAGCAGGAGCGGGAGGAACGCTATTATGAGCAGAAGTGGTAGCGTATGTGAGCTAGCGGTCAAACCCAGGGCCCGCAGCAAGATGCACATCGAATACGTTGAAGGCCACTCCACAGGGCTCATCTGAACCACAACCTCAAGATTGCGAGCCACAAACATGTGACCGTCGCTTACTTCAGACCTCCCGGCGCCCCAAAGATCCAAGGGCCCCAGAATTGTGTGGTGACCACACCACGTGGTCAATCGGTGGGGATTCGGGGTCACCGAGCGGCTTTGGGACTCGGGCACGGGGCCTCCCGGGTCCCCGAACCATGTGGAGACGGGCCGCGCGGCGAGGTCGTTGGGAAGTCCGAGGTCACCACGCGGTCCGTCACCGCACTGTTTCGGGGCCCCGACCAGGACGGGCAGTTGGTGCTACTGCTGGACCACCGTGAGATGGGCGCGGGACGCGAGCACAAGGCGCGGGGGGCGCTGCTGGCAGACCTCGCGCGGCGACTGGGCGCCAGCGCCGTCGAGGCGCGGTCCCTGCCGCTGGGGGACGTGCTGTGGGTCTGGCGCACCGGCAGCGGCGAGGCCGAGCAGGAGGCACTCGTGAGAGGAGGGGGAAATACCAATACCCCTGACGCTCACCTCGTGGTCCTCTTCTTGGGCCTCCCATGGGGGCCCTCGTTGCCACGGCTGGGTCCGCCTCGGAACTCCTGGTCAGAACGCACCCTGGAGGAGATCGGGGGAGCAGCGGCATCGGGATCTCTTGCTTTCCTCAGGTGTTGGCTGGATGGATCATCGAGCGGAAGACCTTCGGTGACCTCAGCGGCTCCATCGTCGACGGCAGGTATGACGAGCAGAAGATCCGGTTGCTCGAAGCACCTGGTATGGACGGAGTAATCTACCTGATCGAGGGCGCCGGACCTCTGTTCGGCGTCACGGCGGCCGACGACGAGCAGCACAGGGGCGGCGGCAGAGGCTTCGGGCAGAGACTGCTGGCCCGCTCCCTGCCGCCCGCCACCCTGTCGACCACAGCAGTGCACACGCAGCTAATCTCTGGCTTCCACGTCGTGCACACCACGTCCACTCCCCACAGCGTCACCGTGCTGGTGGCCATGCACGAGGCGATCTGCCACGTGGGCTCGCCCGGCCGCCGCGAGGGGGGCGCCGTGCCGTACCGCGACTTCGCCGAGCGGACGCAGAAGAGCTGCCACGCGCGCGTGTTCGAGGCCTTCGGCAGGATGCTGCGCGTCGTGCCGAGCTGCGGGCCTGAGGCGACCGAGGCGCTGGTGGCTGGGCCTCGCGCAATGGGGGAGCGATACATGTCAAGCAGTGGCGAAGCGTCCTTGGCGTACCTAAAAGTCCACCAAACAATGTTCTAAGAACCTTCTGTGGTGCCTACAGTCGGGGTGTTGAAGAAGGAACCCTTTTCGTTGGGGAGGGGCTCCGTGTTCCTTGATTGTTTCACAGCTTGCCTTAGGTTGTCGATGGGAAATCGGACTGTAACTCATGGGAAAAAGGGGCCTCGTTCCTTATTTAGGGTTCCTTAGGTCAACGTCCCGACTGTATGAACTGTTATCAGAACACTTCTGGCTGGGACTGTCCTGTTTTAGTACATCGTGTTTATGCTATAAGAAAATCGTTGTGTTATTCGAACATTGATGGGTTCTTAGAACAGTTCGTGGTCGGTCTATAGGAACGCAAGGACGGGCGGTCCCTGCTCAACAATGGGGGGGGCAGCGAGGGCTGCAGAACAGGGGCCCGTTCAAGCCCCAGGAGGGGCCCTTGAGGGCCGAGAGGGGGGCCTCCAGGGCCCGAGCAGTGCATCCCTCTTCCCCCCCCCCCTTCTCCTCGCCGCCCCCCCCTCCCTTTCGGCGACGCCCGAGGTGGATGAGTTCCAGACGCCGCAGGCGCTGGCGGCGGCCTTCCGCGACAGTTCCGACACGGACCTGCTGCTCCGCCTCAAGGCGCGGGCCAGGGGGGGCCGCGCGCCGGTGTCCGCCGCCGCCCTGGCTGCGTGCCGGGAGCTGTTCGCCGCGTGAGGCCGCGCGCCTTGGCAAGGCCCAGCCCCCAACGGGGCGGGCCACCTCTGCCTCCTGCTCCTCCTGCTGCGTCACCGTCGATTTCCCTGTTGCTCCTCGTCTTCTCATTCTCTTCCTCTCTCTCCCTCTCTTTCTCTCTCTCTCTCTCTGTCTTTTGTGTGCTTGTTTGTTGGTTTGTGTTCTCTCTTTTTGTTTGTCCTCTCTCTCTCTTGCTTATCAGCCCTCCTTTGTTGGGTTCTCGTTTTTGATACATTACGGGGCGCTCGAGTAATTTCACCCGGGTTTGTTCGAATTGGTTTCGCAGATATTCTTGGGAATATTGTTCGAGTTGGATTCAAGCCCTCCATCCACCTAGGCTTCCTTGCAGGCGCTCGGAAGAACAATTAGTTAAAATTGCGGCCGTACCTCCAAATTGGGAGTATACCCCCGATCGTCGCCCAGGCTCGCCCATGAACCCAGAGGAATCCCGTACCTTTTTGTGGTGCGGGCGCCGTGCGGGAGTCGAATGGAGTGGGAATGCATCACCTCATGTTGGGGCGCAGAATGCAGAACATGGTTCTTCTCAGGCTGTTTTCTAGTGACCCGTCCGTCCGTTGGTCACCTTTTGCGGTTCGCGTGTGCAGCACGAGAAACGTTTCGAGAGGGAATGCACCACCTCATGTTGAGGCCCAGAATGCAAGTGAAACACATGGTTTCTCTCAGCCAGATTTGTGGTGACCCACCCATACCCATCGTCTGTGGGTCGCCTTTTGCGGAGTGCATCATTTCATGTTAAGGCCCAGCGGGACATGTATGGGGAGGCATCACCTCATGGCGAGGTCCAGAATGCAAGTAAAACAACTGGTTTACTCAACAGCTCTTCTTGTGTTCCACCCGTCCGTGGTCAGCTTTTGTGGTGCGCACGGCGTACGGGGAACGTTTTGAGTGGAAATGCATCGTTTCGTGTTGAGGCCGAGCATGCATTTGAGA